GGCTCGTTGCAGCTATTTGCCAGTGGGGTTGGGCCACAGGGGGTGGGAGGGCACAGGTCAGAGCAGGACATGGCTGTAGGACAGAGAGAAGTCTGAAACACAGGAAAGAAAGTAAATGTAATAAAAATCTGTATTAAGTTTATAGAAGTCAGGCAGGAGCATAATGTCTATGAAAGTACCTAGAGAAGGTAGTCAGAAAGGTGATCACTTATCAGATCAAAGTCCACGACAGACACTCTGAAAATAGCATAGAGGTTTCTCCTATCTTTATAAGGCTGCTGGAAGATGCTTCTGCTCTGTGCTGGCCTCTGAACTGTGGTGCCAGTCATGGCAAAATATACCCTAAGCCTTACCAGCAAAGGTACCTCCTGTTCTTTGCTAGTTTCCCATTGCACTGTCTCTCTGAAGTACAATTGTGACTGTGAGCAGGAGATGCAGAACAGCAGCTGGAGTTCTCATGAGGCATCGACAGTGACCTTGAGATGAACACTGACACATAAATGGTTTTAGTGCCTTAATGCTAGAACTTAACTGCTAACAGCCCAGCCAGCACTGTTTGCAGAGCTGTAGAACAGTGCTCAAGAAGCATCCTTTGCTCCCAAATGCCCAAATGTTGAGGACCACAGCTGGCAAAGTTGGAGCGTGCAGAAGCATTATTTTTCTCATCAGAGGTTTCTGTCTTGATTTGAACTCAGTGTATTTGGGTCTGCTGCCCTTCTGCCTGCAGAAAACAAGACTTAGGGATAGATCCCTGGACTCAACATGGATTTATGATTTTGCTAGTGCCAGTTCCTTAAGATGATACTGAATTTCCAGGTTCATTGGCTAACTACATCTTTAGCACTGGACTTTAAAATGGAGCATGAAGCTGTTTATTTTGAGAGACAACATTGCCAGTATCCTCTAAGCCCTGTCTCATCACACCCTGCTTCACAGGTAAATAAAGCCCTGTTTTTGATAGAACTAAGGCTTTCTAATTTTCCTCCCAAAAGGGGGGGGGGGGGGAGCTAGCAATATTTGTAAAGAACTCAGAATAACAACAGCAGAAAAGCAATCATCAAAGTAACAGTTTAGCATTTAAAAAGACACTGGGTATATTCAGACTTACCTGTTCACCTGGGTGAATAAGGCCAGAGAAGTGGATGGAAAAGTCTTGTCTTGTATAGGCTTTTATACCATGTTCCAGACTGCCAGCAGACCAGAAACATACATTATGCATGAAATTATTTCCTGATTTTGCATGCAAAATCCACCAAACTCATCAACCTTTTTTTTCCCTGACTCAAAATCTCTTTCACTATTGCTCTATTTTTTTCCCTTCCCCTTATTACATTCACATTCCAGTACAGACAAAGCTTTCATCTTCATCAATGGGCACCCACTGAATTGCTTGGAAGACTCTGGTGATTCGTTTGAATTACAGCAGTAATTATGTCACCTCCTAAGGCCAATGTAAATTTTATGCTTCATTTTAGTCATCAAGACACTGCTTAAGGGAGTATATGAAATGCATAGCCTTTACTCAAGACTTCACTCCTTTAGGTGAATAACCATTTAGGACTGAGGTGGGGACTTGGGCTGCAGCATTTCCATTTCAACGACTTAGCTTTACCACAAGACAAGACGTAGAATAGGTATTCCCAAATTTTGCACTTCTGCACTGTTTCAATCCCACACATAGAGTTGAGGTTAAAGAAAATTCAGGCCGGTGAGAACTGCTGATCAGAGACAACAAAACACATTCTAGAGTTGCTTGGACTAACCCACAGTTCTCCATACAGACCCATTGTATGCATACAGCTAATACACACACATAAGACTGCATTTCTCTATCCAATCATAAATTTAACTTCATTTTCCATGCTAAACTCAACCACACTTTCAATGAAAGAGCTTGATTATTTGATCTTATTACTTTGTGACATTTATTAACTGCCTCTAATTCTCAACATGATTTCTGTACAGTCTCTCATCTGAGGAATCACCATTATTCCTACCTGAAATCACACTAAGTCGCTGGGATATGCAGCATTTTTCACATCAAACTGAAGACAAATGTGGATGTTAAAGATTGCTTTCAAGTATTGGTTCTTAGAACCAGGGTTATGCCTGAGCCAAAGAATGGAATCAGGAGAAGTTATACCCAGCAGTTCTCCATTACATTAATCACTACATAATTCTTTTACCTCTGCAGCCTGCAGTGGCCTGCCCTGGCTGTGCTCCAACCTGCTGGAAACACTGGCAGAGATGGAAAGGACACAAAAAGCAGGGATAAAATCTCTCCTCTTAGCACCACTGTCCCTCAGCAGGAGATATGAATTAACTCTAAATGAGGAGTGTCTTTGTATATGGGTTGGTCTTGGTCTTCAGAAGAACAAAGGACTTAAAAGTTCAGAAGAGCTTTTCACTAATGGCTCAAACATGCAAAGTTTCATGTTACCTGATGTTCAAGGTACATGACAAGATCTTAGCACTCACATCACCTGGCTAATAACCCAATTTTGAAGTCAAGATCACTCAAAGAACTTCACAAAGTAATTCAAGGGAAACATCTTCAGAAACTTTAATGATTTTATTAAAAATTACCCTAATTGATTAAAAAAAAAAAAAAAAAAAAGCAGGCAAGTCTTCATCTTCTTTAAATATTATACAAGGATTAAAAAAAAAAAAAAATTGAAGAAGAAAGTCTACATATTTTAATGATTCTCCACAAGAAATTTCTCCTGTCATAGAGTCATAGAATAGAATCATAGAATACTTAGAGTTGGCAAGGACCTTAAAATCATCTAGTTCCAACCCCCCTGCCATGGGGAGGGACACCTCACAATAAACCATGTCCCCCAAGGCTCTGTCCAACCTGGCTTTGAGCACTGCCAGGGATGGAGCATTCACAACATCCTTGGGCAGCCCATTCCAGGGCCTCAGCACCCTTACAGTAAAAAACTTCCTCTTTTTATCCAATCTAAACTTTCCCTGTTTCAGTTTTAACTCATTACCCCTTGTCCTATCACTACAGTCCCTAATGAAGAGTCCCTCCCCAGCATTCTTATAGGCCCCCATCAGACACTGGAAGGCTGCTATGAACTTTTCTATTTAAGGAGAGTCTTTTTCTTCCCTTTCCTCAAAATCTCTACTATTCAATGCTACCTGGAGTCTTCTTAAAAAATTACTTCCTCGTAGCTCCTCATCCTATATAAAGGTGAAAAGTATCACTTACCTGGAGAATTCATTCCCCTTTTATCTGTAAAATGCCAACTTTTCCTCCTTCTCACCTCTAGGGACATAAGCAGTGTTTCTTGGGGGGCATATAATGTTTTAGAAACATTAACAGCCTGCGAGTGTTTTCACTGATATTCTGCTAGCTCGTTTAGATTTCACCCAAAAGATCCAGGGCCTTTGGATCTTGCTTTTTGGGATTAAGGCTGTTGAACAAGGATACTTCTCACTTACAGATCAGTGATGGAATTTCATATTCCACACACCCAATTACAACCCTTTGTGTAGCAACAGAGAGCCCCCTGTCAGTCTGGTGAGCTACCAAATTGCCAAAGAGCTGCCAAATTACTTACATGAACTGCGATTTGTAGAATCTTTATGTTGACTTCAGAGGCCTGAGTGTAATAGAACAAGGCATTCAAATGATCATCAGATCTCTGAGATGAAAGAAGCTTTGAGGAAGGCTTTTCATTAAAAGCCAGGATGAGGCTAGACTGGTACATAAACCATAAGCAATTTAACTCTTGGGGACAATTTAACTACTGGTGACAATGTACTAGCTGCAACAGATTTTATGACTGGACTTATTTCAGTGCCTACATGAGGATCTCTTCCATTTCCCCCCCTCAAACCTATTGGTTTAGTAACTTCAGTAGCTGTTGCAAGTTTCGTTTAAATCTGAGCTCTGTCCTTTAGCAAAAACAATTTACTTGTGAGGATTTCTAAAGGTTTTAATGCCTGCATGTGCTATGTTTATTTTGTGTTGGCATGCTTCATTCTTTGAGCTCATGTTGGAATTCTGTAGGGCTGCAGTCAGGACAGTAAAAACAACTTAGCTCTTATCAGAAGCCCTAAAAGACACAGTACTTATGCAGTAAATAGCAAGTAAATACATCAAATATTGTTGAAGATGCTAGGTGTTTTCATGTTTTAATTCACAAATCCAAGCATTCAAGCAGTGATTTGCTGGTAAAAGAATGTAAATCTTTCTTTGTACCCTGCAGCTCCACATCAGAGTAATTGAAAGTGTGAATCACAAGATTCCTTAAAACAAACATCATTAGATCCTGGCTTAGATACCCTGGCATTGTGCTAGATCATAAAACACTTCCAGGCTTGAGAATAATTTCTTGGCAGAGATGCAGAAAGCCAAGTAATATGATGAGTCAGTGTGGAATCAATATGCAATTCAGCTGCTACATTAAACATTTGCTTGATCTGGAGCTCTAAACATATGTTCTTCTCTTATTAGTGGCACCAGTATTATTCATATCATGTCTCTGGGCAGTGATGATCTAAGCAGTGAAGAATTTCACCCAGAAAAGTCTCAAAAGAAGGTAGGTGAGGAAGCAAAATAAAACAGAAGATCAGAGATGTGAAGAAAGCATAACTTTAATAATATTAAAGAGTAAATTGAAATACCACAAAGCAATAGATTTCAGCATGGGAAGAATGGCACATCTCATGATGATTTATTCCATGGACAGAGCTCTTAGCATAGCATTACACCTTGACAATTAAGTCCCATCTCCTGTCTAAATTGTAAGTTTTACACCAGGCAGTATCCATTACAGAGCTGTGCAGCAGAACTGCATACTTGACTAGAAATACAAAATAGTACAACAAGAGGAAGGCCCTCCTTTTAGGGAATTACTAGCTCCCACAGCTCCATAAACTTCAGGTTGTGGGAGTCTAATACTGCATCTGAAAACCATGGCCATGAGCTCAGTCCTGTGTCGTGCTTCAGTGTTCCTGCTCATTTCTTCCTGCTTGCTCCTCACACTTTAGCACGGCCCATAGAAGCCACCGCGGTAGGTGTTGTAGCGACGGTAGGGCCGGCTGTACCCACTGCCCAGGCCTGGATAGCCAAAGCTCCCTAATCCTGAGGAGCTGCCAGAGGAGATGGGCACTCCTTCAGCATTGAGAGCACTCCCGATGGCTGCAGATGCTGAGGATCCCACTGTGGTTTTCTGGGGGAAGGAGCTGAGGATGGGTCCAGGCAGGGTCACCACCACAGGAGAGGGCTGGATCACCACGGTTGAGTCCTGGCACTGCCTGACACAGGGCTCATTGCAGCTATTTGCCAGTGGGGTTGGGCCGCAGGAGGTGGGGGGGCACCGTTCATAGCAGGACATGTCTGTGGGATGGAAGCAAGTCTGAAATACAGGATCAGAAGTGAATGCAATGTAGGAATCATATTACATTTACATTTACTCAGCTTGGGACAATAGGAGCTTTCAAAGGATCATTTTTTGGGGAACTGAGTGGGGTGTGAGTTGAGAAAGAAAGAAAGATGATTCTTAAATATGCTACATGAAGATGGAGGTTGAAGTAATTCACTCTCACTTGGTGATCCAGTGGAATTGCTGAAAGCAGAACAAAAGGACACATACCTCTATCATTACTTTTAGTATTTTGATTGGCTGTATGTCTGGAAAGACACTACTAATATCCAGCTCCAGGTATTCAGAGGGTTGTAGTAGTAGTAATTATGAGTAATACCTAGCTACAAATGTACTTACGGATAGAGTTCAGCAGACAGCTGGAAAATGAAATTAATGATTTTCCAGGTTCCAACTTTGCCTACAAAGAGGTATGATTTTCAGTATTGTTAAGGATGCTTGAAGCTGATGTCTTAGGAAATCTCTCCCAGACAGTTTGTCCACAGTGAACAAGATCTCAATCCTATGAGAAAGCTAGGATTTAGAATCATAGAATGGTGATGGTTGGAAAGGACCTTAATATCATCTAATCCCAAACCCCTGCCATGGGCAGGGATGCCTCACACTGGACAGAGCCTTGGGTGACAACAACCTGGCCTTGAACAAAATATTCTCTGAACAAAATATTCTCTGAATACCCACTGTGTCTGGTTCCAGCATACCAATAAGAACAAAGTTTGCTGTTTCCTATGTTTATGCCAGTTTGTTGGGTGCTGAGGTCTCCTCCATTTTTGCTATTTTTTTCCTTTGTTCTCACAGTCCCTGAAACCAGTTCTCTAAACTTGCAGTAGATGTCATTGCTTCCTATAACAGAATTTCAAACCTTGAGTACTAAAAGACACCAAGCAGAGCTTTCTGATATGATTATCAGGTTGAAGTCCATGTTGATTACTATAGTAGAAGGTTGAGGGTATGTGATTAGAGTCAATATCCTTGCTGAACTCACTATGGCTATTCCTTCTAATATCAGTATGCAGCTCTGTTTTATCTTCACTTAGAAAGTGGAATTTAGGGTTCAAAAACCTGTGGTTTGATCTAATTGAATTTATAACCCACAGATGTCTGCTTTAAACCTTCCTAGTTTCTCTGCTCACTAGCTCTTTCTTTTAGTGTATGTATCATCTTACCCACTTGTTTCCCACTGTGCCCAGTAATAAGTTCATCACAATAAAAATGGGCAACAGTGAAAAGCTTCTATGGAATAAACAGCAAAGAAAAGAATTTTTTTGGATGACATTTCTGAAGATAAATGAACCCACATGCTTCACAAACGCTGTTGTTTACATATCAACCCAGCTGAAAATTCAGGCATTACAGATGATGGATAAGACCCTTAAAGATACAAAAAGCATATTGCTACTTGAAAGAAGATTGAGCACAGAGATCTCTGTAATCATATAATGGTTTGAGTTGGAAGGGACCTTTAAAGATCACCCTGTTTCAACCCCCCTTGCACTGGTATACTACCCATTCAGTTTGTTCATCTTTATTAATATTACTATTATTAGAATTCAGTAAACCACTTAGCACATCTGAAAGCCCATATTTGAATAAACTTATATCACCTTTTCAAGGATTTATATGGCCAAGTTGGGAGTCCAGAAATACCTGCATTTCCAACAGCAAAACCCAATGTTTTAAAAAGTCTTCCCCCCGACCAAACCAGCAGCTAGCAGAATACTGTGGTGAAAAAAGAACAGCAAACAAATTGTTATGAAGGTAAGAATACAGCAAATAGAAAGAAGTAGATTTGAACTAACCTTGTTCACAAAAGAGGGAAATGTAAGAGAAGTGGGAGGAAGGACCTTGAGTTGAGTTTGCTTTTATACTGCATATCGAATGGCCTCAGGAGCACAGACATGCTTTGTGCATGAAATTATTTACCAACGAGTGTGTCCTGAATGCAAAGTGCTTCCAACTGATTAAATGTCTTTTCCTTACTATTTATTACTTTGTTTTTATTTCCTTATCTTCTGACATAGATATTCCATCACGCAAGTATCTCTCATCTTCTGGTATTATGGAACAGATTTATTCCAGTGCCACCTTTCAGGCACAACAAACTCTAAGCTTCAGTATACGTTTCACCTTAGTCATAAGCAAAAATATTAATAAGAATTTATACCATGCATAATTCATCATTCAAAGCTGCTCTTTTATTAAGAATATGAGTGTGTATCCTTAAGAAATCCTTGTCGCCACCAGTGTTTACAAAGCTCCAACTCTAGCCAAGCATAAGAACAGTCCAGACTGAACTTTGGTGTTTTGTGAAGGCACAAAAAAGCACAGACATATGCACACCTGAAATCTCACTGAATGCAGTGAGAAAGAATCAAAGCCCTGTATGAAATACTATTCTACTATATCAAATTTAGATAGTATCACCCTGTTAGATTTCAATAACAGTCTGAGACACAGCTGATAATACATGGCGACATGTAGACCTGATTTATCTGTTCTTTTAAGAAAAGAACCTATATCTCCATTCTGTATCATCTCAGACCGCATATATGAATAGCACTGCACAAGTCACCTTGAGGACAAATACAAATTTTAATATACTTTGAGGTATCATCTCCCACATAGGGAAAAAAACCCCAACACAACACATAAGGACTTGTTTGCCACTGAACTTTTCCCCTTGCTACAGTCTGAAGTACAACAGTAATTACACTGCAAACTGCTGGAATTCTGTTACATAAGTGGAATATATATATACACTGAAAGTTTTTTAACTTTACTTTTCAATTTCTCTGGCCAAGCTGCAGGGTTTGAACCTCCTTGTTGAGCAACCTTCACGGTAATTCCATGACATCATGCTGTCTGAAGATGGCCAATTCCAGGACGTTGGTTTCTCTCTTCTTTTAAATCAGCAAACATAGACCAAGGGGCTTATGGCAGAGACTAGTTCTCCAAGCTTTTTCATTCATCAGCAGCACAAATGTACCTTTCAGGACATGCTGTTCTTGGGTAAAGGCCACTTAACAACTGGACACTTTATTCTTTTGAAATTAATTTCTGTACTTTCTATGCTACAGGTCCATTTGCATCATAGAAAGACGTCTTTCTGTCACCAAGAATGAAGCCATTCTTTGATGTACATCAGAGTGCAACCAGTGATTACTTGGAGATTTGTGTGAATAATTACTTCAGTCACACCAGTTCTGTCAACAGGGCACCAAATACTTGTGGATGCATTCCAGTCCCTTCAATTAATTGTATAGAAAACACAGTCATAGAAACCAATTTTTAAGCAGAGACTCCACTCAGTCTAAGACCTACTGATTTCCCATCTTCCATAGCTTGCTTTTGCTGCCTCAAGCCACAGCTTAAAAGTAAACACATCCCATATTATCTCTAAACCATTCTTTCCCCCTCCAGGCCCCTCTAATTTAGTAACTTTGCAAGTAAGTAATTCTTAAGCAAAGAAAGCTTATAAGCTTAAAACATTTGGAAAAACATAAACCTATCTTTTTTCCCCTGGGATGTGAACATTTGGGCTGGTTCTAGCAGTGAACCTGAATGCCAATTATCTTCCCTCTGGTTCCTTCACTATATCAGCGCTACAACATTTCAATTTTGAAATAGGTATTAGTGGGCTTTCAAGGAGAAATCCCTGAATGAAGTGGACAGTCATCAAAATTACACAACTCTCACTCATGTTGCTTTCCTGTTCTATGTTCTGTTAGACCCTGCACAGCACCAGCAGTAGAACAAAGGCATTGATACAATTAAAACTTGGATAAAATTCTCAGAAGCTTATGTGCCTACAGACAAGCTATTCTTCATTTGTCTTTGATGTCTCTTAGCTGCACACAATGTTGTGAGCTTTAACATCTTTGAGAAAAGCCCTAGATGGTAACAGGAGCAATTTGGTTTTAATCTTACAGGAAATACCTATGGCCACTTATCTAATTCTTCACTCATTTTTCCTCTAAATTATGAGAGGTTTTGTGTGGATTAGCTAAGCAACAAGATATAGTGGATTGTGCTTAATGTTTGAAAGAGAAGATATCAAAGCCCATCATCAACGTAATTTTATGATTCTGCTGAGATTTGAACACTCGTTTCCTCTTTGAAGCCCTGATTCAAAATCACTTGAAGAATGTCATGGTTAAAGCTTCAGAGGCTGGTAGTATTCAATCTAATCCAAATCAGAAACCCAAATACTGCTTCTGAATTATGGAGTCTCATATTCTGAGTGTTTTACAGATGCCAAATAAGTGATAAGATCAGAAGGTTCCCAAACTAAAAGAGGACAATTGTACTCTTAAGCGCAGAGGTGGAAAAAAAATTGGGGAAAAAAATAGAAAGAGAAATATATAGGTAAAAATGTTCCGTGTTTCACAGGAGTCTAAACAATGAAACTCTTTTTATCATATTGATTGTGGTGACTATTCAATTCACATTTTCCACTAAGAAGGTACTCTGCAGAGATTTGCCACAGGACATATTCCTCCCCAGGAAGATGAAAAAAGGAGAAGAAAACCATAATGAAACATATTCAGATGCAAAATGAGTTTAATCATGTAAAGTCAAGCAACATTCAGCAAACAAAAGATATATATATATTTATAAAAGAGAAAAAAACCAAATGTTTAACCCATTGCAAATGAAAGACAGCAAGAGAGATTCCACTTTGCCTCAAGTCCTGAACAAAAACCTTCCATTGATCATTTTAAAGTACAGAGTTATAACAAGACAACATGAAATTCAAAATCACAGAGAAATGGAAAGTCATCAAAAGCAGGAATTTCAAGAAGAAGACATATTGGCCAAGTGCCCAGAAAGCACCTTGCTTCTCTCTCTCTTTTTCAGGGAGGGAGAGGAGCACTGAACTCATCTGGCAACCCTGGCCAGCAGCTCCACGACAGTCTGACACCTGGCTTTGGGCTTCCTGGTTGATGAACTTCCAGCCTGGCTTTAGCAGGGCAGGCACCTTCTGCCGCAGTAGCGACCACCAAGACCAGAGAGGCTGAAGCCCCCAGAGTTGATGGGCACTCCCTCCTCACTCAGGATGCTGCCAACAGCAGCAGATGCTGAGGATCCCACGGCGGTGTTCTGGGGGAAGGAGCTGAGGATGGGTCCAGGCAGGGTCACCACCACGGGAGAGGGCTGGATCACCACACGGGAGTCCTGGCACTGCCTGACACAGGCCTCGTTGCAGCTGTTGGCCAGTGGGGTTGGCCCACAGGGACGGCACAGATCATAGCAGGACATGGCTGTGGGATGGAGGTGGACCTGGGAGAGAGGGCAAGGACAGCACAAGCAGTGTTAGAGTGATAGCCTGCTTGGCAAGAGCAAAGACACAGGCTGGGAAGCTGGGACACCTTCTGTAGGGTGGCAAAGATCCTCAGTAGGGAGGAAGATTTCTTCTGGAGCTGAAGTTCCCAAGGAGGCACAGAAAAAGTGTAAGACCTTCTTCCACCTCTCCCAAGTGGAGAACAAGAGGAAGAAACACAAATAACCGAATCAAAGAGAAAGGCTGCCAGGAAAAGCTACCAAAAAGCTATGGCAAAGTTGAGGCCAAAAGAGGAGAGCAAGATAGAAAGCAAAGACGCTTGCAGCTCACCTTGCTCACCAAGGAAGAGAAGGCAAGAGAAGTGGATGAAGGAACCTGCTCTTGGGCTGACTTTTATACTGGTCCAGACTGCCCCAGGCTCAGAGACACCCTTTGCTCATGTAAAGTGTTTACCAACAAGCTCATCTTGCATGCAAAGCACCACAATTAAAGAAATGAGGACAGTGCTTACATTCCCTGCAATGCTGCCTTTTCATTTCCCTGTTTGCGACGTAGCCATTCAGCAACAAACCTCCTTTCAAGTGACAATATCAGAGGACAAAATTATTACATGAAACATGACACAGAAGTATGATTCTATTGCACAGTACCTGAGCAAGGAAAATGCACAGACAGTAGACAGGTGCAGCCCAGAGTCCAGGTCAACCGCCAAGCTCCTGGTGGTGAAGCAGGACTGATATAAGGCAACACAGTCACTCCACGCATTAGAAGTAGATCCCTGGATGGTAACCCAGGCCACAAAGCTTATCAATTGCTGACAAGGGCCGTAAGAACCAGACAGGACCAAGCACAAACTGGGCATTCCATTCACAATTGAGGATCTGGATCAAGGGGGTCAAGCATACACAAATGTACTAAAGAACAAGAAGCTCACATTCCTACTGCTAAGCTGAAGAAAATGGCTCAGTACAGAGCTTAAATAGAGAAGTGGGTTAAAGGGAGGTGGGGGGACTGAGAGACCCCAGGTGAGGCTCATCACAGCCGTTGGCCTGGGAGTTCCTGCACTCAGGCCATTGATGTGCAAGAAGACGAAATCTCTTCTGCACCTGGAACACAGCACACCAGCTCCATCTATGACCACAGTGTGGGTGGAGGGACTTTTCCATCAAGAAAGCAAGTTTGCATTCATTGTATGTGTGCAAAATCTGTCCTTTCTTCTAAGCATCCTTTCAATCCTACCCCTGCCCCAGAAAATCCATGGGTAGGGTCTCCTGCCAGACCTTCATATTCCCACATATAATGCCCAGCAGCTTTCATTCAGAGAAGACAGAGCTTTAGTTATGGGGAAAGACACTGTAGGTGTTGCCACTACACAGGGCACAGCACAAAATGTGCCCATAACTGCCTGAAGCAATACTGGGGACCAAAGGGCAAAACATCAACTGTGCAAGACTAGAGGATGAGGCAGGAACGGACAGGCAGCTCATCATCCCCTAGATCACCTGTTGTAGTAGCAACTATTATATCTCAGAGGAGTAGGCCACACCACCTACGTGCCAAATCCATGCATGGGCAAGGAGATTTCCCTCCCTGATCTCAGTGGATTTGCAGTTCAGGGCAGAATAGGAAAAAGACATAATGGATGCACCCTGGAGGATTTCTTCATTTTGTCTTCTAGTGTACAAGAGACTGAGAAGGACTTCACTACAGCTTTGTGGACAACAATCCATGTACACTCCCAGTCAGTGACTCTGCAGGTCTAACATAGCAGTGTACTACAGAAAGGGGCCGGAGGGGCAAGTAGACACAGTCTAGGGGCAGAAGTGGTGGGTTACTGTTTTTTTTTACATCTGAACATGCCATACACACATCTACTGGCCATGGAAGGAATTGAAGGGGTTTGATGCAAAACACAAGTCTTTTGTTCAGGACAAAGGGATGTGTGTGACTTTGGAAGGACAGTGTTAGATGCAATTATGTCATCCAAGTGGCAACTTCAGTCAAACACCCCATCCCAATCTCCCAAGAAAAATGGAAACCACAGCATACCTTCACCCACACCTTTCCCCTGTATAGCATTCCCTTTTTGCCTGCCCAGCTTGGCTAGGCATCCCAGGAGGGAAGAAACACGAGGAGACTCAAGCTACAATGCAGCATGAACTTTAATGTCTTTAAAGAGAGAAACAAAGCAGTGCATCCTGGAAGGGATGCCGTCCAGGCTGCTACAAGGGCACCTGACAGGCAGGCATCCTTCACAGCATCAAGACAAACACCTTCCTCCCACACCCATGGGGAGAAGGAGATGAGCAGGAACCCTTTGTGCTTGCTTCAGGATGAACACATGGCACAGGACAACAGGAGGCAACAGGGACTCATGATGCAGAGAAGAAAGCATGAAAAGAAGATATCAACTGGCCAAGTTTCCAGACAGGACAGGCTGGCACCTTGCTTCCATACCTCCCTTGCAGGAGAGAACAAGGGTGCTCAACCCATCTGGGAATCCTGGGCAGCAGCAGTGTCCTCAGTCCGGCACCTGGCTTTGGGCATCCTGCTCCATGCATTCACTGGAGACATACAGCCTGGCTTTAGCAGGGCAGGCTCCTTCTGCCACAGTAGCGACCACCAAGACCAGAGAGGCTGAAGCCCCCAGAGTTGATGGGAACTCCCCCCTCACTCAGGATGCTGCCAACAGCAGCAGATGCTGAGGATCCTACGGCGGTGTTCTGGGGGAAGGAGCTGAGGATGGGTCCGGGCAGGGTCACCACCACGGGAGATGGTTCAATAATGACCCTGGAGTCCTGGCACTGCCTGATACAGGGCTCGTTGCAGCTGTTGGCCAGTGGGGTTGGCCCACAGGGACGGCACAGATCATAGCAGGACATGGCTGTGGGATGGAGGTGGACCTGGAAGAGATGGCAGGGGAAGCACATTCAGCAGGCAGGGAACATATTTACAGCCTATGCGGTCAGAGCAAAGCAGAGGCTGGAGAGCAGGGACAATCTCAGTAGGGAGGAAGCGAGATCCTGGACATGCAGTCCTGAAACATCCACTGAAAAAAGTTGTCCCCCACCTTCCATTGTGGTTGCACAGATCCAAGACTCAGGACACAAAGAGAAAGGAGCTCAGTGATACAGCAAGACAGAGGAGGAAAGGAGAAAGAGTGGGAAAAGGCAGTTGTATCTCACCTTGCTTACCAAGGAGGAGAAGGCAGGAGAAGTGGATGAGGGAGCTTGCAGTTGGATTGGCTTTTATACAGGTGCAGGACAGCCCAGGCACAAGAGGCAGTCTTTGAGCATAAAACGTGTTTACCAAGAAGCTCATCTTCCAAGCAAAGCATCGCAATTAAAGAAATGGGGACACTGCTTATATTCATTGCTATGCTGTCTTTTTGTTTCCCTGTTTGTGACATGCCCATTCAGCCACACAGGCTCCTTTCAACAGACGCTATTAGAGGCAAAAATGTTTCCAAGGGAAATGACAAGTCAGCATAGGCATATGATGCAGCCACTGATGAGGAGTGTCCTACCTCATCAGGTGAAGCCAGACTCTTGCCTTCAGGGGCTCACTTTAAAGTGTTCCTGAAGCTTGTGGCTCATCTCCTTCAACCCTGAGGCTTCCGCCTGGACACACACACACAAGGGTTGCCTTCATCAGCCAGTCGCTCTTGTGCTATGCACACACACTCTGTATTATGCGTTACCTTTCTAGGCAGGGCACCTCTACTATGGGGTTTAGACTCTCTGAGACTGAGCTTTGATCTCAGCAGTTGTTCTTCCTCTTTTATCATCTTCCTTCTCTCCTTCATCCCCACTTGCCTTTAACAGCAGACTAGCAGTGCCTATTCATCTCCCAGCACTCTTTGCTGGAGACCACTTACAAAGTCGGATACTCCCCAGTGACCAATGTACGTGCTGGTAATCAGTACATGCCCATGGCCACAAACTAAATCACAAGTTTTACCTGAAAATGAAGAATTTCTTTAACAGAGCACTGGAACAGGCTGCCCAAGAAGGTTGTGAAGTCTCCCTCTCTGGAGACACTTCAAATCAGCACAGTAGCATTCCTGTGTAACCCACTTTAGGTGGCCATAACTTGACAAAGGGGTTGGACTGGATGATCTCTAGTGGTTCCTTCCAACATTAATAATTTTGGAATTCTGTGGTTCTCTGAATCTGTGTTCTTACTGCTCGTGTCTTTGACACTTCCATTGTAGCCATGCAGACAGCTGGCAGACCAGGCATGGCTAAATACCTGTCAGGATTTCCACAGGACATCCAGCTCTGCTCACCAGCAAGCAGGGTCCATAAATCGTTGCAAGGCCAATCGGAGTGTCATGGCACAACAGATGCCTCCTACTCTACCTGAAGCACAACCTGAACAACAGCACAAAGTATTGCCTGTCTGTGATGGAGGGACTGAGAACTGAGATGGTGGGGTACCATTCCCTCAGTCTTCCCAGGTTGGGGGGTGATTAGAGGGACAGAGGAATCACTGCTTGACACCTCTGTGGGTACAGTCTGCACAGCAGCTGAGTGGGGTCTGGGGACGATTTGAAGCACATCCGCTTCAGAACAGCTGTTGTTCAGGACACATTGACACACACAGAAGAACTCCATATCAGCTAATGCTTCTGACCACAAAACTGCTTTGGTGGGGCAAAGATGATTTTCCTTTTCCCTTTCAGCCCTCCACAGAGTTTCCAGAACATGTCACTGATGCTGCCCATCTCTTTCACAGGATTTCCCGTGTGACCATTCTCCTACCTAAACGATTTTATACAACAGTGATGAACCCATCCCCATTGTGCCAATATCCAGAGAGAGGTTACATCTCCTCTTTGATGCCCTGGCTAACATTACTTTTAGTTCAGGGCTTGGAGGAAGTACTTGGAGGAGGGCAGAAGCTCACATGCAGAGCTTTGGACAGGTGACTGTTAGCTTGCATAGAAATGTCTTCCATTGGTTTATCAGAGGCAGTATCCAAGCTATCGTGGTCCTCACATGTCTATTCGGAGAGCTCATGGCAAGTTTTGCATGCTGAGACTATACCACACTCCCCTCCATTACCACATCTCTCTTCAAGTGACCATATCCCTTAAGAATACTCAGCTCCTCCAAGCACAAGCCAGATCAAACAGTGAACCTTACCCATTCACTCTCTTCCCCTCTAATATATTCAATTTTCCCCAGCCCAGCTTGGCTGGACATCCCAGGAAGAAAGGAACATGAGAAAAACTCAAACTACAATGCAGCATAAACTTTAATGAGTTTAAAGAAAGAAACAAAGCAGTGCATCCTGGAAGGGATACTGTCCAGGATGCTACTAGGCCACCTGACAGTCAGGCACCCTTCACAGCAATGGGACAAGCGTCTTCCTTCCACACACATGGGGAAAGGGTGATGAGCTCTCTGCTTGCTTGAGGATGAACCCATGGCACAGGACAGCAGGAGGCAACAGGTACTCATGATGTGGAGAAGAAAGCAGAAGAAGAAGATATCAGCTGGACATATTTCCAGACAGCACATGCTGACACCTTGCTTCCATCCCTCCCTTGCAGGAGGAAATGGCATTGCTCAACCCATCTGGGAACTCTGGCCAGCAGCAATGTCCTCAGTCCGGCACATGGCTATTTTTCCTGGTCGATGCACTCACTGGATGTCCAACCTGGCTTTAGCAGGGCAGGCACCTTCTGCCGCAGTAGCGGCCACCAAGACCAGAGAGGCTGAAGCCCCCAGAGTTGATGGGCACTCCCTCCTCACTCAGGATGCTGCCAACAGCAGCAGATGCTGAGGATCCCACGGCGGTGTTCTGGGGGAAGGAGCTGAGGATGGGTCCAGGCAGGGTCACCACCACGGGAGATGGTTCAATGATGACCCTGGAGTCCTGGCACTGCCTGATACAGGGCTCATTGCAGCTGTTGGCCAGTGGGGTTGGCCCACAGGGACGGCACAGATCATAGCAGGACATGGCTGTGGGATGGAGGTGGACCTGGAGACAGGGCAGAGGAAACACAGAGATCATGTCAGAGGCAGCCTGACAGCCTGCTCAGCCAGAGCAAAGGCACAGGCTGGGGAGCAGGAACAATCTCAGTAGGGAGGAAGAGATATAAGGGAACTGAACCCAAAACGGGAATGAAAGCCAAAGACCTTTCCCTGCCTCTCATATTGGTGGCTAAGAGTCTAAGGTCAGGAGCAGGACAAAGGACCAAGACTCTCAGCAAAAGATATGATAAGCTCAGAAAGGAAATAGTTTAAGCAAAACAGGAGAGAGGCAAATTTGGTTGCAGCTCACCTTGTTCACCAAGAAGAAGGCAATAGAAGTGGATGACAGAGACTGCAGTTGGCCTTGCTTTTATACAGGTGCAGGACACCGCAGGCACAGAGGCAGTCTTTGAGCATGAAATGTGTTTACCAAAGAGCTCATCTTACATGCAAAGCATCACAATTAAATAAATGGGGACACTGTTTATGTTTCCTGCAATGTTTCCTTTTCATTTCCCTGTTCATGATGTGCCCATTCAGCCACACAGGCTCCTTTCAACAGACACTATTAGAGGCTAAAATGTTTCCAGGCGAATTCACACGTCAGCATAGGAAGATGATGCAGCCAATTATGAGGATTTTCTTACCTCACCAGGTGAAGCAAGACTCTTGCCCTGCAGGACATCACTTTAAAGTGTTTCTTAATGTATGTGGCCCATCTACTCATAACCTTGAGGCTTCAGCCTCGACATACACACACAAGGTTCAGCTCCATCAGCCACTCACTCTTGTGCTATGCTCATGCCCTCTGTATTAGGCATTGCCTTTCTAGGCAGGGCACCTCTGCTATGGGGTTTAGACTCTCTGAGACTGAGCTTTAATCTCAGCAGAATTTGTTCTGCTTCATTTGCCATCTTCCTTTTCTTGCGCATCCCTCTTGCATTTAGCACCTCTCCTGGGTTCAGCTGTAGCAGTCGTTTTTCTCCTTTTTAGTAGCTGGTGCAGTGCTGTGTTTTTTACTTTAGTCTGGGAGCAGTGCTTAGTTCTTACAAAGTAATGTTTAATCTGATCAAGGACTTTCTGAGTCTCATGCTCTCCTAGGGAGGAGGGGACGTCAGAAGGAAGCAGAGACAGGACACCTGACCCAAACTAGTCAAAGGGGTATTCCATACCACAGCATGTCATGCCAGTATATAAACTGGGGAGAGTTACTAGGAAGGCCCAGATTGCTGCTGGGGTCAGATTGGGTATTGGTCCGCAGGTGCTGAGCAATTTTATTCTCTCCCTTTGTTATTTCCTTTATCATTATTATTATTGGTGGTAGCAGTAGAGTTTTTTTATTATACCTTACTGGGCTGCTCTTATCTCAACCCCTCAGAGCTACACTCCTCCCCATCCTTCCGGGAGCCAGGGGAGAAAGAATGGAGTGAGCAAGTGGCTGCGTGGGTCTGAGTTTCCAGCTGGGCTTAAATCATGACAGCAGTGGACTGCCAGTGTTTAAGAACTAAGGCTTTTTCCCTCCCAGCACTCCTTACTGGAGACCACGGGCAAAGCTGGATGCACCCTGGGAACTAAGGCAAGTCATGCCTAATCGATACACATCCTTCTTCCTGCCTATGCCTTTGCCATCGCTTCTTCTTTAGCCACACAGATGGCTAAACTGGATTTTTAAATCCCGCAGATGGCAGGATTCCCACAGGACACACAACCCTGCTTAGTAGCGAGCAGGGCTTATGAACTTTTGCAAGGAGAATTGGAGGATCATGGCACAGGAGGTGCCTCCTACTTTACCTGAAGCATAACCAGAAAAGCAGCACAAAGCATTGCCTGTATGTGAAGGAGGGAATGAGAATTGAGGTGGTGGTGTAACACTTCGTCAGTCTTCCCAGTTTGGGCATGGC